AAGTTTTCCATGATAACCAAGAAGTATTTGTTACCACGCTCTGACTCAGGGAACGGTCCGGCTACATCTATCGCTATTCTTTCAAATGGGAGACCGACGTTGTACTGTTTCATGGGCCCCGAGATCTAATATTAGGGCCTTTATTGGTAACAAATATGTCGCATTTTCGGCACCAGTTTTTAACGTCTTCATGATAGTGGACCCAGTAAAAACGTTCTCGATTTTTGTCCAAAGTCTTGTTAACTCCAAAATGTGCCCCTGAAGTTCCGTCATGTATTTCTTTTAAAACATCTTCTATTCGATCTTTTGGAATAACTAGTTGGCTCTCCGTAGTTTTCCCATCGGCACTTTCCCAAACTCTTTTCAGTAAACCATTTTCTACGGCCAGAGAGTTCCACTGAGCCCACAACGCTTTGTAAATCATACTCTTGTTCGTCACTTCCCTTCATTCTAGGCCTACATTCATAATTCATAAACATTTCTACTTGGGGTTGATAAAAATTCGATGAATTATTGACCTCTAAATTCTATCTTCAATATTCAAAATTATGTTCACTTTACCTGGCTAACCAACAAGCAGCAGTCCTTCAGAAAATGGCAATTTAACATGTACACATTTGCATAACTAGGAAAGTGGGAATGCATCTCAATCTCTTCATGGTATCCTGGTATCCTCCATGCATTATCAAGTTGTGATGTTCATCAAATTCAAGAAATGCTTGGAGCAACCTCAGGAAATGTAAGAGTTTGTAATTTTTTAATAATGATGTTTAGAGGCCTAAATTAATTATCTTTTCAATAAACCAGATGCTTCTTTTAAGTATCATATTTTAAGTTATTAAGGAATTTGTAAGGCTTGCTTTTTTTTCTCCATATTAATGTAGAAGTTGGGTTTTTTTTACCTCTAGATGATGAACTAGCAGTGTACAGGGTGAGTCACCATATTTTGACACCCACCTGCAGTCGTAATTACAGGTGATAGGTGAAAGGTTTATACACAAAAATTGTAGCATTTTATCTGAACCGCCAGAATTTGTAATTAGATTGAACAAATGAGCAACGCGAAGTCAAAAAATATGTCAATATGTACTTTTTTTGAACGGAATGCCATTTATTTCCTTTCAAATTCTTAAAGTTCTCGTTTTCGTGATTCAGATTATATAATATGTTAATGTTTCTTCCAATAGTTTTGGAAATATCTGGAGTTAAGTTATTCAAAGACAGTAGTTTTTTGAATATATTTTACCTTGATTTACCTCCCACCTGCCACAAAATATTCTGATACGTGAATAGGTCTTTGAATAACTAAACTCCATATATTTCCAAAACTATTGAAAGAAACATCAACAAATTATATAATCTGAATCAGAAAATCGAGAGCTTCAAGAATTTGAAAGAAAATAAAGTGCATTCCATTGAAAAAAAGTGAACATTAGCATATTTTTTCCCTTTGTGTTGCTCATTTGTTCAATATATTTGAAAATTCTGGCGGTTAAGATAAAATTCTACAAATTTTGTATTTACACCTTTCACCTATCACCTGTGATTACGGTTGCAGGTGGGTGTCAAAATATAGTGACTCACCCTGTATATTCTTTCAAAACTCGACCAAGATTCACTTATTCAATTACTGAGTCCAAAATCAGCTGTTGATCTAAAAATATAAATTAGAGTGATAAAAAAATGGAATTTTAACTTGTAACAAACGTATATTGGTAGCTGTTGTCTTGGATTTATGTCGATTCTATTTTTGTTTATTTTTCAATGATGGGCGATCGTTGCACGATGTTTCGCCAAATGTCAGACCACATCCATCTATTCATCTTCTCTGTGTAATATTATTGTTGCCGCATTTCTTTAACGTTGCAATTCTATACATGTGTTTTGCTTTCTGGTAGAAAGCATGCCCTGTCTGGGCACAAATAAATGGAAGTCTTTTTGAAGATAGGAAATTTCTAGAACACTTTTCTTTCTGTGTGATGAAGTTTAGTCAGCTAGAAGGTAGCCAACCTAGATACAAGAACAATTCCGGCTTGGTTATGGGAATCAATCCAGGACTGAACTCATCAGAAAATAAACGAAAACTATTTACGAAAAGCACAAGTGGTGATCCTAGCACCAACTGCTAATAACTCATACAATTTATTTGTATTGATTCTGATTACACAATACGTGTGATTCTCATCCGTTAGAGGCTCGCTAGTTACTAGAGAAACAGGTTTGAAGGAGACCATAACCACACGCATTGCGTAATCTGGCCGCGACCAGAATAAATACAAATTCCTTGTATACACCATTTACTTTATTTTCCTAAAATAGGCGATCATGAGCAAATGACAACAAACCGGTTTTGACACTCTCATATTGAAACTTGGCTGCCAATTTTATTTACAGAAATATTTTTTAACTATATTGGAAAAAATCCTACATTAATCATCACATAAACTGAACAGCAAATACAAAGATAACCAGATACCATCTCCGAAAATCGAATTTGAATGAATGAATTCGGGGTATTGTTACGTTGTGGCCTGCATATTTCTATTGTGTGTGATTTTCAATCAAAGCACCTCATCCAACTTTAAAGCTTTTATGAAAGCAAGTAGACTGGATGGTTCTATGGATAGAATTTCTTCCTGTCCGACGGTGCATCATCCGAAGCAGGCTATTCGTATGTTCAGGATCGCCCCGCACTCCGTGAGAAGGTGTTTTGGAGTTTCCTCCCCGCCCTCACAGAACCAGGAGATGTCCTCGTTTTCGATTTTAAATCGCTCAAGGTGCCCTCTCAACGGACAGTGGCCTATAAGAAAACCAGTGAGAATCGGAAGATTGCATTGAGTCAGTGATATAAGGTATTTTGACCTTCCTTGGTAAGGGGACCCGAGAAACAATCTTTAATTCTCGAAGCTGTTCCCAGAGGCTAATCCATTTGACCGCTCTCCTTTCCTGAACACTTCCTTATAGGTGTGCCACAGAAAGGCTCTGGTCCTGAAAGCAGAGTTTGTGCTCCCACTTTCGCCAATTGGTCCGCCTTCTCAATACCTTCAATCTGTGCGTGTCCGGAGCACACTGGATGGATAGTTTGTTACTCTTATCCAGTTTGTTCAGCTATATCCAGGCTATTCCCAAACCAAATTGCTTCCAAGATTGAACTCAGCACATCTACTTATAGTGTTTACATCTGCCTGCAATATGTGTAAGTGTTTTCGCATTGCTCCGGAGAACTTGAATCCAGGCCCAAGTACTCCGGCTACCATTTTATGGCATTCTGCTGCAATGAAGGAATGGATGTGGCGCGTCCTTTCCATTCTTCACTACTGTGAAGCGTTTCTCAAAATTATATATTTGGATCATAATATCATCCCTGGGGAGCTCAAGCGAACCTTCCTCGCTAGCTCGCCCTTCGTGATTCTAGTTACTCGTCTAGCAGCCGCTTCCACCAAGATGTGTAATTTCCAATTTTCTCGATGGCTGCTGTGGGACAAGTTCTCATTTCGCCCGTAATGTATGTGCACGCCAGGCGCTGTAGTTTGTTGAGAGCTGCTTTTTTGTTCTGCTTCTCAACTTCCTTGAACCAGACTATCGATCCATATGGTAGGGTTCGTCTTACTATCATGGTTTGCATCCCCAGGTTTAGCCTGCAAGGTTTCGGCACAACATGAGAGCCCTTGTATCCTTGCGTACAAGTCCTTCAATGAGTTTGCTCCATCTGAGTTTGCATTCCAGCGTTATGTCGGGGTATCTGACTTTCGTCACCGGTATCATATTAGTTCCGTGTATTCGGATGTCCTTCATTCTAGGGAATTCTCTCTTCCTAATGAAAGGCTTTACGGTGTTTTTTGATGGATTTATCTCCAGTCTCACTGGTTGGCACCATTCCACCGTTGCTTTGAGTCCAGTCAGTATAAGTTCACACAGGGTACCCTCGAACTTCCCTCTTGCTATGATGACGATGTTATCGGCATACTCAACGCAGTGCAAGCCCAGGTTGTTCAGTATTCCTAAATTCAGCCACCACTAAGCTTCACATGTCAGCACACTCCGCCCTGGGGAGTACCTTGAGTGGTGCTCACCTCAATAGACTACTGAAGTCTCTGCTGTCCTTGTGGCAAGCCTCTTACACATCCATCGATATAATATTGTGTCGTTGACTCCCCTTCTCATTAGTGCTCTCCGAATGGCCACATGGAATGTGTTGTCAAAGGCACTAGTGATGTCTAGGAGAGCGCATAAAGCCCGGGACATATCTATCATGCATTCTTCCGAACCGACTCCGATCATACAATCAAGGTCCTTCTTCTTGGAACAGGGGAGCAACGAAACACTCGTTCTCCTGGAAACGCTGCTCTCTGTTCCAAGAATAAGGACCCTGATTGTATGATCGGAGTCGGATCGGAAGAATGCATGATAGATGTGTCCCGGGCTTAATGCGAATTATTTCTCGTCTAGAGTTTCTTGTATCGTGCTCGTCAATCGGAACAAAACTGTCTCAGTGGACCTGCATGCTCTGTAAGCAATCTCTCGGAAAAAATGTCATCATGTACTGGACTATATGTAAAGGCATGAGATGTCAAATTTATGTAGTGGCTTTCTGTAGACCTATTTGAAGATGATCCTTGTGTCACATCACTGGAAGATATGAAATCGTTTTCACGGTATGTTCCTGAAGATCCACTTTGATGTTCACTGGATAATGTCCCTGATGTCTGTGACGATGCCGTAATCCTTCGCAATTCATATTTTTGAATTACATCCAATATTTATTTTTTTGCTAAGATCTTATAAGCACCTATACCACTTAAAAATGCTTCAACAGGATGGGTTGGAGTCAACTTCGATGTAGCAGGTTCTTCTAATTTTTCTTTGATTAAGTACTCCATTAATTGAGAAGATGCCGAAGGTGCACTATTTGAGAGGCTGTTCTTTTTTTAGCTATTTTTGGTGTTTGCTGAATTCGTTTTTCTAGCCTTTGAGGAACGGATGATTGACTTGATTCATCCTCAGTTTCTTTTGCAAAAGTTGGAGTATGCCACATCATGTAATGTGATCTCTTCTTCACTGATTTGTTCTTCAAAATCTTCCTGTTCCTCAGTCTCGTCTTTTTGGAATACAATATTTGCTTTCGTATCTCTTTCATCAAAACTTTTTTTTTGGAAATCCCAATGCCTCTGCTTATTTATAAAGTTTAATTTTTTTGAGGCTTGTCCCCCTTTTGTTGCAGTTTTTTTTAGAGATTTCCTGTAATTTTCTCTGATATTATTCCATCTCGCCTTACATGCAGACCCTGAAAATAAATTTGTCTTCAGTATATAAACATTACAGTTATAATAAAATAAACGTTTTTTAGTGGAAATTTTGTTTGTTCCTAGCTACTGGATATTCTTTAAAAACTATTATTTAGTTACCGAATGGGGCATAGCACAGTGCAAAACATTGTAATGGAAACTTGCAAAATCATAACTGAAAATCTTATAAGGGAAATGCTGCCGCAACCTTCAGAAGACATGTGGAATACTATTGCTCAAAGCTTTAACACAGTTTGGCATTTCCCCAACTTTTTGGGAGAGTTAGATGGTGAATATTCTACAATTGAAGTACCTCCAAATAGCAGATCACAATTTTTCAATTACAAGAAAATGTTTTCTATTGTAGTTAGCACTTGTTGATGCACATTACAGTTTCATAGCTGCTGATGTTGATTCTTATGGCAAAAATAGTGATGGTGGCATTTTTGCAAAATACCATCTGGCAAGAGCACTTCAAAATTACCGTTTATCTGTACCACAGCATGCACCACTACCAGGTATAGACATCGTGGCTCTTTATGCGATTGTAGGTGATGAGGCATTCCCTCTAAAAACCTATCTGATGCGCCCATATCCAGTAAGGGAATTGAATGATTCTAAGCGTTTTTTCAACAACCGTTCAAGTAGAGCTCGGAGGACCGTTGAAAACCCTTTTGGGATTTTAATACAAAAATTTAGAATCTTCATGAGAAGAATCCAGGCTAAACCGAAAAATGTATATAACATAATATCAGCAGCTTGTATTTTACATAATTTCATTAAAAAATATGATACAAATACATATAATTATCCAAATGCAAACTTGAATAATGTTGCTCAAGAACAAGGACATCAAAATCTATCTATGCAAGGGGGAAATGCAACTAATGACGCATTTAGAGCTAGAGAATTGCTTACAGAATACTTTACTTCAGAAATTGGACGTGCCGATGGCAAAATGATTGGATTTGAGATAATCATTGTTTTTTTTGTGATTTACTGAATAACCTGTAATCCAAAATCTACATACTAATTTCCAATATACAAAGTTCCAATTTACCATCGAGATTTAATTCTTTTCCTATGATATTCCACACAATATTTTTAAAACCGGTTTCCATATATTTTTTTTTGTGTGACAAGTCATACAATTCTGGATAACTCCGTACCAACTCACTGAGCCGGACTTGTCTAAACAGTTACACTGCCACTGATACTGAACTGACACGGCACTGATACGGAACTGATGTGTGTGAATAGTCCTAATAGAAAAGAAAATGTGACTCGAGTTTGCAGAGAAAGTTTGAGGTTATTAGATTATGTCTCACCTGTTGGAATAGGGTTTTATTTGCCACAAAAATACTCTTATCTTGGATTTCGCTGGATTAGTCGGGAATCGAGATCCTGGATAGAATATGGTGGTTCCTAGGGTAGCTTTTCACTAATGATCAGATAAAGAGAGTCAGTTTCCCTAGTGGAGAAAACGTGCAAAGCAAAACTTACCGAAATGGTTTTTAGAAATCCGGTATCATCGGCGAAATTATGGCACTGTACGAAAACGTAACGCAACGTAAGGCAACTCAATGTACCAAAATTCAATAACCGAGAAAATTAGGTCCAAAATTCCCTTTAGAACGAAGACAAAAACTAAATTCTTTCTCGGAAATACCAAATCGTAAAAGAAAGAAGCACCACATAAAATTAAATTAGCTGTCCTAAAGGTAAAGCGTAGAGATGAGGCAAAGTAACGGCAAATGTCAAAAATAAATTGGGTAAAATTGTAAATACCGAAAATTGCACACAACAATAAAATCAGAGAAAAATGTCAACAGCTGACGACTAATGATAACAACAAGTAATCAACTACTAGAACAATCATAATTTGAAGAATACGACATTGAATAAGCAATTCGTATTGCAAAACGTAAACGCTTACATTGATAAAAATGAACGACACTTTTGCAGTCAGCTGGCACACAAATCATAACTGACATGACCTAAGTGACACTATAAAATAGAGAGCAAATCGGTGGTTTATGGAACCGGATTCCGGAAATAAATCTGGTACTGAGTTCAGCAACCGAACAGAGTTCATGCAGCATGCAGTACATACTTCGTGAAAGGACAACGGTTTGGAAAACCTAGCCCGAGAATAAGAAATATTTGATATGTTTAATAATAGAGAGTAGAAAATTTACAGGATCTGCAACTACTGTAATTATTGTTAAATTGTTTATAAAGGAAAATTGTAAACTAAGCCTAATAAAATCAGGGAAAAATTAGATATCTATAGGAATTTTGAATGGAAAACTAAAAATGAGTGTGAAATAGTTAAAGGCAATTTTGGCACGTTACATCGGTTTGATACATGTTCTGTTAGCTCAGAAGGAGGAGCGCTCGCTTCTTCCCCTTTCGTGTAGGTACAATCTGGTTTTTTCAGAGTTATTGTCGAACTTGTTCCTGGAGTCGAGGTGATGTTTTCACAGAAAGACCTGAAGTTGTTATTTTGCCATCCTGATTTCATTGGTATACTTTGTGAGAGCCTCTGTGTAACCCTGCCACTCTCCGGTCCTCGTTGCTGTATTGAAGAAACACCGAGCTTGGGTCCGGAGGCGAGCCTGGTTTGCATTCCACCATGGGGCCCTTTCGAGCATCTTTCCAAATTTAAACGCTCTGAAATTATATTGCAGATGATATCAGCAAGAATCGATAACATAACTCGAATAGCGAATACCTGTTTTGCTAAATTGTTTGAATAAAGATTTTACAGCGATATCATTCAGTGGCATATTTGCTCAACGACGGTCTTAGATTTCTTCGTAAAGTTCCCTAATGAACAACCCTTTGAATACAAAGACATGAGGCTAACAAGAAAAGTCAAAGTACATTATTACATTACCATAAGTAGCTTTGGAAAGGGCTCAGTAGACCTGCCCCCCCCCCCCCCCCCCCCCCCGCCCCCCAGTTAATAATTTTTATCCAAAACGCTAGCCCTCGTTCTCCAGAGCTAGCGCAACCTAGCGCAACTTTTTCGAAAGCCAGCGCAGCTACAGGTCAAAATATATGTGGCTTTATATTCGGGGGTGGGGGGGGGGGGGCTAGGGTGACGCTAGCCCCTCCCAGTTATTCGATCTTCTCAAAAATGCTGGCGCACAATCGTGACACCTAGCGCAAGTTGTGTCATAGCTAGCGCAGGAAATCATGAGCCCCTATAAGTGATTTTTAATTTTTCAAAAATATATATGAAGCTTCCTTAAAGCTAGCGCAGGTAAAATTCGAGCAACCGCATTACCCCTTTAAAACATATACAGGTATTTATTCGGGGGGGCTAGATCAACGCTAGCCCCCCCCCCCAGTTGTTAAATCCTTTTCAAAAGGCTGGCGCAAGTTCGTGACACCTAGCGCAGCCTAGCGCATGTTGTGTCATAGCTAGCGCAGCTATGGTAGCTGTCATACAGGGTGGACAAAAAAAAATCATGAGCCCCTATAAGTGATTTTTAATTTTTCAAAAATATATATGAAGCTTCCTTAAAGCTAGCGCAGGCTAGCGTATGTAAAATTCGAGCAACCGCATTACCCCTTTAAAACATACACACATACAGGTATTCATTCGGGAGGCGGCTAGAGTGCCGCTAGCCCCCCCCCCCCCTGTTGTTGAATCCTTTCCAAAATGCTAGCGGAAGTTCTTGACACTTAGCGTAAGTTGTGTCGTAGGTAGCGCAGCTATAGTAAGTAAATGTTATACAGGGTGAACTATGAAATCTTACAAAATGTCGCCAGCTCCAAGACAAGATTTTACGTTTACAAGCGCTATCTATTCGCGAAGTAGGTAACTAAAACTTAACCTCACAAATGAAAAAATTGAGGTAGGTATCTTTTTCAACCTTGATGCGCGCGCAACTAGTGGGTTGTACAGTGACTGTATTACCACAGTGGCGACAATAATTGCAGTCTTATTTATGATTGGATTTGATGGAACCAAGTAATAATAAGACGGCAATTGGCGCTCCTGTGGATGAAAAGGTTTATCAAGTCACTGTAGGTGTCACGAATCTGCACCATGCGCCAGCATTTTGAAAAGGAACAACTGGGAAAGAGGAAAATTAGCGTTACTCTCCCCCGCCCCCCTACAGAATAAATATCTGGATAATTATTAAACGGCTAGAATGTGCTAGCTTTAAACAAGCTTTGGATACAATTTGTAAAAACTAAATGTAGCATTTTGAAAAGGATTTAACAACTGGGGGGAGGGGGGCCTAGCGGCACTCTAGCGGCCTCCCGAATAAATACCTGTATGTGTGTATGTTTTAAAGGGGTAATGCGGTTCCTCGAATTTTACCTGCGCTAGCTTTAAGGAAACTTCGTATATATTTTTGAAAAATTAAAAATCACTTGTGGGGGCTCATGATTTTTTTTGTTCTCCCTGTATGAGAACTACGATAGCTACGACACAACTTGCGCTAGATGTCACGAACTTGCGCTAGCATTTTGACAAGGATTTAACATCTGGGGGGGGCTAGCGTTGATCTAGCCCCCCCCCCCCCCCCCGAATAAATACCTGTATATGTTTTAAAGGGGTAATGCGGTTGCTCGAATTTTACCTGCGCTAGCTTTAAGGAAGCTTCATATATATTTTTGAAAAATTAAAAATCACTTGTAGGGGCTCATGACTTTTTTTTGTCCACCCTGTATGACAGCTACGATAGCTGCGCTAGCTATGACACAACTTGCGCTAGGCTGCGCTAGGTGTTACGAATGTGCGCCAGCATTTTTGAGAAGATCGAATAACTGGGGGGGGCTAGCGTCACCCTAGCCTCCCCCCCCCCCTGAATATAAAGCCACATATCTTTTGACCTGTAGCTGCGCTAGCTTTCGAAAAAGTTGCGCTAGCTCTGGAGAACGAGGGCTAGCGTTTTGGATAAAAATTATCAACTGGGGGGGGGGGGGGGGGGGCAGGTCTACTGAGCCTTTGGAAAGGCTGGAAGTTCGATTATTATACTATCTAGCCATGCTGAAAAAGTTTTAATTCAAAAAATAATCCCTCAAGATTTCCACCAGATAAGGGACATAATAAAAAGCTATCGACATAAGTAACTAACTCTTACTTCACATCTACTTAATTACTATTTCTATTTGTAAATATTGTGATGAAAATATTCAAATTCTCGAGCTCGATATTTGTTACAAAGGTTTTCCTGAAACTTTATCTAGGACATGGTGCAAGTTTCCTGGAATAGATACATCAAATAGATGTAGTTGAAAAGTTGTTTTAGTCGACTACCTATCGCCTGCTCGTTTCTGCTTTATTCGGAGAAAATTGAGTTGAGTCCTTGCTTGACAAAATATTCGGTTCGTTTTATTAATATAAAAGTTTTCCATATCAATTTTACCACTTAAAAATGTGTTTTGCATAGAATAAGATAAGCTGTGGAATAAGCTCATAAAACGCAATTCCAAGTTTCGACATTAGGTACTTAAGCTTTACGACAAACCTATACTAAGTGCTTCGATGGCTTTTCCAACTTTTTACGATAGCCAATATTAATTTTCCATAATAAGCTTTTCCTTATTTCAATATTTTTGTCTTATCATTATTTGTTAATAATTTCTATATTATGCTTGAATATATTATAGCTCGGTTCCCCTTCAGGGCATCCAACTATGGAATACACAGAAGAAAACAAAAAACGCCCACCAAAACACCCCCATTTGGTAGCGAAAAACCTGAAGACGCATCAGTAGGCTTCGAATCTACTAGTGCAAACCCCCAGCCACAAACATCCAAGGCAAATCTCGAAGGGGAAAACCTGAAGGAGATTGCTTCGGATCTGCGCAAGCTGTATCTGGAGAAGAAGCGCATGTCATCAGGTGCGCAACGCGGCAAGCAGGCTATAGCTGCTGCAAAGGCGAGGGAGGATCTTATTAAACCCAGAAAACAGCGGGCAAATAGGAAACCGAGGGGCCAGGCTACTGTGGAGGATGAAAAACCACCAAGTAGCCATAAACAGGCAGAGAGGGCTGACATCCCTTCCTAAAGCAAACAGAGGCCCTCTGATCTTAGCACTCCATCTCCAGCCAGGGCACAACAGGCCAAAAAGAGCAAGTGTGATCTGAAGGACAGACCCAGTACCTCCACTGGGGCATCAACCTTCAAAAAAGCTCTCACTGGTTTCAAAATGGCTGCGATCCTGGACAAATATCCGGAGGAGAAACTCACTCCCGAGCAGTCCAAGCTCATCCATCTGGCCCTAACGTGGGAGATTTGGAAATCCCCATCGGGCACAGATAACAAACAGCTACTTCCTAGGGGGGATGCTTTTCGTGGATTGTGCGAACCAGGAGTCCAAGTCTTAGCTCCTGAACACGGTACATACACTGAAGCCCTGGGAAGCCGCCCTGAGGGTTGATGACTCCAAGAACGTGGTCGGAACTGCCAGGGTTCTACTGCGGGTCCCAACAGACGTCCTGGAGGAGAAGGAGACTACTAAGATCCCCGAACTCGTTGAGATCCAGAACGGAGATCTTAACACGGAGGAGTGGAGGATAGTAGGCAGCCGGGCTGAAAAGAACGGCACCACCCTTGTTCTTGCTATGGATGAGAATGCCTTGAAGACATTGGAGAAGGCTAGGACCAAGCCTCTCCTTCAAGGCGACTAGACAACACAAGGGCGATGCAGAAACTGCGGGTGCTCCAAGTAAGTCTGCAGCACAATAAGGCGGACACGGTCATCCTTTGCAGGACCCTTCTCTCTGAGAACATCGACGTAGCCATGATCCAAGAACCCCGGCTATTCAGGGGGAGAGTTGGGGGTCTAGGCGAAGCTAGAGGTAAGATTATTTATGATCATAACTCCAACGATATCAAAACTTGCATATTTGTTAAAAATGAAGTACATGCCTAAAAACTAACCGATCTCTGTTATAGGGACAAAGCGACTGTTAGGCTGGAACTAAATATGGCAGGTGCAAGGTTCGAAGCCGTCCTCGATTCAACCTACCTACCATATGACTCCATCCAACGAACTCTGCACGCTAGAGCAATACTGCAGGGAATTAAACCTGCAGATGATAGTGGAGTTGGATGCAAACGCACACTACACCCTTTCGAGCATTTTTTCAAATTTAAACGCTCTGAAATTATATTGCAGATGATATCAGCAAGAATCAATAACATAACTCGAATAGCGAATGCCTGTTTTTTTAAATTGTTTGAATAAAGATTTTACAGCAATATCACTCAGTGGCATATTTGCTCAACGACAGTCTTAGATTTCTTCGTAAAGTTCCCTAATGAACAACCCTTTGAATACAAAGACATGAGGCTAGCAAGAAAAGTCAAGGCACATTATTACATTACTATAAGTAGCTTTGGAAAGGCTGAAAGTTCAATTATCATACTATCTAGCCTTGCTGAAAAATTTTTAGTTCAAAAATAATCCCTCAAGATTTTCACCAAATAAGGGACATAATAAAAAGCTATCGACATAATTAACTAACCCTTACTTCACCTCTACTTAATTACTATTTCTTTTTGTAAAAACAATATTGTGATGAAAATATTCAAATTCTCGAGCTCGATATTTGTTACAAAGGTTTTCCTGAAATAGATACATCAAATAGATGTAGTTGACTACCTATCGCCTGCTCGTTTTATGGCTTTATTCAGAGAAAATTGAGTTGAGTCCTTGCTTGACAAAATATTCGGTTCGTTTTATTAATATAAAAGTTTTTCATATCAATTTTACCACTTAAAAATGTGTTTTGCATAGAATAAGATAAGCTGTGGAAT